TTCAATTGTGTTATTAAGAAAAATAATAATAAAATTAACTTTGTTTATAGAGGATAACACTTGACAGTAATTCAACTGATAAACTTGTGGTCCTCAGTTAACATCTCTAGTTAATTAGGGACGGGACCGCTATTAACGTGATCATCCGAGCCATGTGAAGGTCTAACCATTCGCATATGTAATTACAAAGGTAGCACCTTCTCCTCAGTTATTTTAAGACCTTGAACCACGACCTCCCATACAACAGACCGATGCTCTTACCAACTGAGGTRGCCGGATGGCGGTATTCCCTAGAGTATCTTTTCTTTGTTTATTTTTCTTTGATCATTATAGATGAGAAGCACATGAATGTGAATACGACCCAAACAAAAAATCTTATTCTCAAGCACGTCATGTCATCAGTTGAAATGCATTTGAGAAACCAAGCTAACAAGACCTAGTATTAGATGCGTGAATTAAACAGTTGAAGCTTCGCTTGCAGACACTCTTGTAAGCGAACAGCTCTGATCACAWACACCTTTCAAAAAATCCTGTATTTCTTCCGATACAACACTGTATTTTAACATACCAATTGAAATTAATCTATTGTTTTCAAGCTCCTGTAAGCTGACTTAACAAATAAACTAAATTTTTGTTATTTAACTACTGCAGTCAGACTGCATAATCATTGTTTTGGTTCAAAATTTAATACAACATTGATTATACAGATTCAAAATATCGGTAAATGCACAACGTCTACGACAWTGATTCAGTACAGACCTACATTTTTTATTGCACGTCACTTTCTGAAATGTCCGCTTATCAGAGCTTTGACCGCATAGCCTTCAAGTTAATAGGCCAATGATAAAAGGGTAAATTTTACACTGTGAAAAGATGAAAAAACTCACTGACRTTTTGGACGCTAGTCCTTTGTCGGAGTAAAAGAGCAATATTGTATGAGTATGAGTGTGAAATTCCTCTGCTGAATCATGAAATTGGTCTGRTTAAAATGGATATTTACCTGAGCAATAGCAAAGCTGTAAGTTTAACTTACTAACTTATGTCTTATTTATTATGGAAAAAAATATTAGGAATTTTAAAGCTTAGTGTAGGAAAAATCAGAACTTACTAAGCTTAAATTGTGAGCTCACGGTTTCTTTTTCATTTTTCAGATGTTGTAGTGCATTCATATATATGTTATTTACCAGCCAGGAGGTCTGGATAGGGAAAAACTGTGCCCGAGGTCTTCAATATACGGACCGATGCCGTAAGGCTGAGGTCCGTTTTCAAGACCAAGGGCACAGTTTTTCCCTACCCGGACCGACTATAGGACGGTAAATAACTTATTTATTTTTTCATGTAATTTTTTTACTTGTTTTTGTAATCGTTTTGTTTTGTTGTTTAGGGGCAAAGGATACCAGACCCGCGAGCTGGGGCAGATACTGACAAAATACCGCCTGCTCAAACAGCCAATCAGAACGCACRACTTTTTAGGATACCGGACCGGAAAAAAATAACTTTTGTTCTTGTATTGTCCTGGGAAGGGAAGCAAGATGCCTATGTAGTAATACTTGCTGATCAGATTCAACRTTTCACTATCTGAAATGTGCATAAAGATGCAAAATTCACAAGCACGTCTCTCATTTCTGTGACCAATTAACCCAAAGGGTTAAAAACGGTTATCAGTCAATGGGCAAGGTTCAGCCAAATTTGGCTGGTCAACGTCTTTTAGGCTGGTCCTTTTGAATAATATCACATTGACTTTTCATCAGTTCATTATTTCATGTGGCCAATCATAATGTTTGGCCATTACGCAGCAATTATTTTTAGCCCTATATACTGTACATTGTTTATGGATGGAAGGGAACCAAAATATATCTAGGGGGAAATTCCGCATCTGGAGTTTTCTAGATTACAACGTGCTATTGTGCTATAAAAAGTGGATGGAACCAAAAGGGGATAGATTGCTTCACATCAACAAAGCAAATTGCAATTAACACATTTGCATAATAAAAATGTTTGTCAACAACTGACTTATAACTGAAGTGAAGGGGGAAAATATATAAACTCTACAGTTGTAAGCTGATCTTTTTTACCAGTATTATATAAAGTACGATCTTTGATCTTTTTTATCAGCAAGTTTGAGACTCAAACTTCAGGTTCTACGTACTGAATAAACTTCACTAACTGCATGTACAATTAATTCTTACTTTTCAAATTCTTCAAGGGCTTGCGGAGTGAAAATCGCTTTAGCATACATCCATTTGTCGCTGAGCAGAGCCTCTGCAGACGCACTCTTTTCACAGGGAACCTTGTTGAACTACAGCAGTTTAAAAGGAAAACGCCATTTAGGATTGTTATAAAATCCAGCTGGGATATCATGTCAAACCACGAACTTGAAATTTGGCGGGAATTCGTGCGATTTTACAGCCAAGAAAGTTTACCGAATTATTAACCATATTTAATCTCCATGGAGATTACCTGGATTATTTGAGCTCTGGCAAACTTGGGTTGAGTTGCATCTTTATCGTAAAAAGAACAAATAGCTTTTTCAATCCAAGGTCTTGCCAACCAGTCAGCCATCTTGGATGTTAACAGACGAAAGGATCTGGGACGACTGAACGAAAGGGAATCCCACCACCCCCTCCCCTCTAGTTTTTAGAATTGTAGTGTGAGGGAGCTCGCGCTACAAAGATCTTTTTTTATCATTTTATATGAATTTTGCTTTTTAGAAGAACACAAGAATATGGAGGTGGGTTGAGTGAAAGCGAGAGGCAAATTTCAAAAACAGATTTTCTTATTTAGGGTATTGTCTATACTCGTGTGGACAGGATAAAAGCTTCTTTTGGAGCTATGAGCCAACTGCTGGTTTCTCATGCACCAAAAGTCTTTGAAGAGCATAAGAAACTGAATGTGAATTTTCATCATCTCCCTCCATTTTCGTAGCAATTTTTAAGCATCGTTAAGCGTAGGAATTTTAGAAGAGGGGTGACTATTACAAAAGTTTTACCAGGAATTCGACGAAAAGGGGGTGACTGTTAAGATATACTGAGAAATTTGAGCAACAGGGGGATGACTAGTCACCTATTTTACCACCATTGGATCCACCCCTGCTAATATTATTAAAAGTCATTTTGAAGTGATAACAGCCTTCCGAGTAAATTACATCTCAAGAGGTCGGAGAGACGGTTGGGTGGTGTCGCAAACGCTTACGCGACAATAACTGATTGGATATGCACTTGCGAAAATCTTCTCTGAGACCCACTTTTAACGATCAGGCTCTTAACAGGTACGCAATTTTATTGTCCTATTTAAGGATTGCGCGCGTTATAAAACAACAGACATCCACAATTGTCAAAAGTTAGTCTAGCGGCTTCTTTCAGTTCTAAAATAAGCCGCAACACCTTTCACAAGGAGGTATTTTTAACAAACACGAAAAGGATAAGAAAATAGAAAAGAAAAGAAGAGGATAATCTAGCGCGTCGTACTTGATCTGTCAGAAAATGTTAAATCCAGGTTCCCCTCCATTACCCTAACTAAGTAACTATACTTATATATACGATGACGTGTAAGCATGTGTACAAACTACGCTATACTTGGTCAAATTAAGACAACCAATCAGAAAAGCATCAGTTCAGAGTTCACTTCAGTAAAGAACTACTTGCGATCATGGCTGTTTTCTCGTTCAAGCTCGTCATCCTAGTTGCTGTTTTCATCGGACAGTCTACCGTTTCTCACGTAAGTCTTTCACGTACCATGGACGTGTTTCATTGGAATTCGTTCATAAAATAATCCCTTAATTTCTCTTTTCCCTCCCTCCCTCCCTCCCTCCCTCTCTCTCTCTCTTTCTCTTTCTTTCTCTCTCTCTCTCTATTTTTTTTCCATACGCTTCCTCAGCCTTGACCATTTCCTTTCAATTAGCAATTTCGTGACTAC